GGAACCACTGAGCTAAATCCTCAGCAATATTTTAACTCTGTAAAGCTTTTCTTCCTGTCAGCATTTAATCAAAAGTATCTTTCAATCTATGGAGTTCTACGTTTCTTATTTCATATTTTTGGAGTTTATCACTAGTGTTCTGCTGAGGATAAGATGTGAGCCTCTTCTAAAGAGGCCCAGTGGGATGGTGGGGAGCTTTGGGATCTGTCCAGGAGATGCAGGGTTCAGCCCTGGTACTCTGTCACTGTAGCACATATTAAGTTTGTCACGTGCCCCTTTTCTGCTTCTCCAGCTCCTTCTCTCTAGTCTGCTGAGGTCAGTGGAGACTGTCATTACAAATTCAGTTAGCTTTATTCCATGCTTTTCAGACTTACTTTTAAGTAGAATTCTTTCCCGAAGAGAAACTGTGTGGGGCGAAGGCTGAGGCACGGCGGGCAGAACCTCCCCATGACTGAATCTGTTCACTTCCAGGGGCTATCAGCAGCAGGACGCCCACGAGTTCATGCGCTACCTTCTGGACCACCTACACTTGGAACTTCAGGGCGGTTTCAATGGTGTTTCCCGATCGGCAATGCTGCAGGAGAATTCTTCTCTGTCTGCAAGTAACAAATGCTGCATGTAAGATTTAGTTTTCCTTTGTTAAGAGGATCCCAGCATGTCTCTTGGTGTTACATTTATCGTGGAAAGTGGAGGAGTTCCCTGGACATTTGCTGAAATTCCTGTGCACTTGAGCTTTGTAACCAAGTGGATGAGCATGTGCCTCTTGCTTCTAGACCAGAGGCATCTTGTATTTGCATGCTAGTGACATTCTGATTGTTAGTTTTTGGTATAGATTTTTTAAAAACCTGTAGAAGTGAAAAAATACTTCAACAATTTAGCATTTAAAAGATTATCCTGCAAGTGTATTGAATAATGTATAGGAGACTTAATTTATTTGAAGTGCAGTACTGAGGATTGAACCCAGGCCCTCATGTGCTTCACCATTGAGCTACATCCCTAGCATAACTTAATTTTTATATGCCAAAGTAATTGTACATGTTCACTAGAACCAAAAGCTTAAGATAAAGCAAATTTTCCTCAAGTTTCTCTTTTTTATTTATTTTTTTGGTACTGGGGATTGAACTTGGGTCCTTGCGTTTGCGCAGCAGGCGGCGAAACCACTGAGCTAAATCCCCAGCCCCTAGTTTCTCTTTTTTAATGAAATTGAGGAATTTGTAAATTTTCAGAATTTTTTTCTTGCCTCTTACTACCAACAAAACAAACCTTTTGCATGGCTTCCCTATTTACAAACACCTGAAAATATGATTTGAGATTAGAGCATTTATTTTGCTTGGTTTACTGATAGTTTAGGCTGGATATTGGCCAAGTTACAGTTTCCTTTTGCTCAAACTTGTGAAAAATGTTGTCAGTGTTAATCTGTACAGGAAGGGGATCTATAAGAAAACAAACTTCTCAGAGAAAAAGAGAAGAGTAATATATACAAGTCACTGTGGTATCACTTGGCAGTCAATAAATCTGGCTTAGAAAGGAGTGATAAAGCAGCCTCATCGCTACCATGGCAGCATCAGAGAAGGGCACCCATGTGGACTGCTGTTCTCCTCAGAGTGCTTGTCCCTCTAGGTCCCAGAACCTGTGATTCCAGTAGAGAATGGGAACAACTTTCAACCTGGTAAAATTGTTTTTTCCATCAGCACCAAACTAAAAACAGTAATGAAGTGAAAAATTCTATTTGTATTTTATCATGGTGTATTCTCTCATAAAGGATATTGAACTGGGCCCTAATCAAGGATATGCTGTTGCTGTATGATGCCCATGGCACCCTTTTGGAATCCCATTGTCTAATACAGGATTTTCAGTATTAGTCTATAAATCTTTTCGTGATATTTTAAAGAACAGTAATTATAAGCTCTGTTTTTCAGTTAGGAATAGACAGAAAAATATATCATTAAAATTTCAAGATTACTTTTTATTTTCTTCAGTGCACTGTAGGAGGCATTTTAGTATCTAAGGATATTTTCTAAAATTAGCAAATTATCTATGAAATATCTGTCTTTACTCATACAAATACTGCCACCCCTACTAAAGGTGGCAGGCATGAAAAAGTACACAGCAAATGTGCTTTTAATCTATAGAAAATCATTAGCATCAATATCAAAGATCTTTGCACTATTCAAACCAAAGTAGTCAAAATTCAAACACTTCTGATGTGCAGTTATAATGGAACAGCAGTTTTGAAATTTCTGAATGTTGTTTTAAGAATATAGTGTACCTAAATTTAATGCCATACATGTCAGATAGCCAAAACTTGATTTCTCAGAGAAAGTGATTATAAAGGAAGACTCACGTAGAGTTTACTTATTTATTTTACTTATTTATTTATTTGGTACCGGAGATCGAACTCTGGTCCTTGGGCTTGTGAGGCAGGCAGGCGGTGGAACCACTGAGCTAAATCC